CGGCCCTGGCCCCAGTCTCAGCCCCCTTACTACTGTCTGCATCCCCCTGGCATCCCTGGCTCGTGGGGGGCATAATTGAGGTGGAGGTGGGAGGGTGCGACCCTGCAAAGTTTGGGGACCACGGCTCTAGAGATTGCCTGGTGAACGGTGGTGCAATTAAATGACTCTGTTGGCAGGACGCTCCTTTGCACTATGCATCATGATAGGGGACATGCCAATGCGACTGAGCCAGTCATGTCAGATTGTTTCATCCCAACTGACTTTGGAGGAAGCGGTCCTATTTTTATTTGGAATCCTTACAGTGGAAAATAATTTGTGCTTTATGCAATTCACTGTGAGATAAGTCTATCTGAATTATCTGGGCAGAATTCAGGAAGTTGCAGAGGGTTAGGAATAATCAGCCAGGTGCAGAGGAAAGTGTGAGGCTGAAGGTGGTATGAATATGTCTGAACACCTCTACTCTGTGCACAAGCAGAATCAGAAAGGAGAACAGCATATCATGTGTCCGCAAAACGCTTCTTCCAGCCATTCATAAATTCTCTACAAGAAATGCAGCCACATAATGTTCATGGGTGGAAAAATTGAACAGAATTTGTCCCCAGGCCTATTCTATGTAAGAGAGTATATGAGGACTGGCTGTGTCAAACAGCTGGGCTCCTGCAATGTCACCGAGCCATGATAACTATTAAACCATTACGTCATTTATAAATTCTTTATTATACATGTGGCCACTTACTGTTAAAGGGAAAATCATGGGGCCATGGGCCATGGCAGAAAGGGGACAGGGTAGCAGCTTCCCACTGCATATGCCAGCTTCAGGAGGGGACTGGCCAATCCTCAGGGCAGACCACGTGTGCAAAGAAGGAAGAGGGCATCTGCACCTGCTGCACATCTGGGTGGTGCAGAAATGGTTGGCTATCCGCCCTCCCCAAAACACTTGGCTGTGGCCCCTAACCCGTCTTCTCCCCCAAGGTCCCAGGACAGCTGTGTACATTTAATGGGGCTGCAGGAACTCATGTGGCACTCATGGAGGGGAGAGGTGAGGGGACGGTTCTCTGTAGTGTTTTGGGGATAAATGGGAGGATCTCCTAATCCCTGATTGTTTTGGGAAGGGATTAACTAGGATAGGGGTCGGCAATGTTCGGCACGCGGCTCGCCAGGGTAAGCACCCTGAGAAGCGGCACGGGCGAGCGATGTGCTGGCTGCGGCTTCTCGCCGCCCCCATTGGCCCGGGACTGCGAACCGCGGCCAGTGGGGGCCGCGATCGGCCAAACCTGCCGCGTCAGCAGGTAAATAAAACTGGCCCGGCCCGCCAGGGTGCTTACCCTGGCGAGCCGCGTGCCAAACATTGCCGACCCCTGAACTAGGAGCTTGCTTTGTGGTTGCAAATAGGGTACTTAGCCATTGAAATGCTCCTGGAATCAGTTGTGGAAGCAAAACAATACAGGCAAGAGGGAGAGTCTTGTGAAAGTCTGAGCTACAGGGTATGTCTACACACCAATTAAAAATCTGCAGTTGGCCCATGGGGGCTCTGGCTCGTGGGACTGTCTAATTGCAGTGTAGACACTCAGGCTCCGGCTGCAGCCAGGGCTTGAACATCTACACTGCAGTTAAACAGGCCTGTGACCATGAACCCAAGTCAGCTGGCCCGGGCCAGCTGCAGGTGTCTAATTGCAGTGTACACATACCCATGGAGGACAAGCAGGGAATGGAGAAAGGTAAGAGTCAGAACATCACGATCTCAGAAATAGTGCTCACACCTGCTGGAAGAGAAAAGCATTACACAATGCATTCCAGGCAAACATGGGAATGAATGAATGACAACACAAGTAATTAGGAACACAAAAGCATGTGTTCAATGTGTTTAACAGGCTGTCAGAATGCTAAATCAATGTGACTTGCTAACCAGCATCACAACACAAAGGAACACTAGGCTACAAACAAATTTTGCAGGAGGAATATTTATTTTAGCTGTCGACAATTAAGGAAACTGGATCTGACCAGGAAAAGATGACTGGGACATGTAAACGCCTCACCTTTAACCTGTGTATAATCCACATAGGTAGTTACACACACAATCGCTATTTGCTTTTTCCTGTAAACTGTACTTACGTCGCTTGGTTGAATGATCATCAAGTGCATCCTCTAAACGGAAGTCATCAGAATCATCACCATATCCTAGAGATAAAGAATTGGCATTGGCTTTACTCATTACTCACTGACAATGTAAAACAACTTTCAATACAGCATGGCTGGACTTGTACGCTTAAACTGCTTTAGTTTTAGAGATTTTTAAATCTGACCCATTACCAACGGTGAAGAAGACATCAGCCTTCTCAGAATTCTGTGACTGTTAAATTGCAGAGCAGTCATCTCTGGATTTTCCATTTGTCTGCTCTAATGGATTTGGTATAAATACACATGCTATACTTAAATTTGTCAAGTGGAGCCTACCAATTCATCTCTCTAACTGCCACTCATCTGTGGATGTATTCACGATTATATGTTTGCTAAACACCATAAAAATATTGGAGTGGCTTAGATAATGTTTGTGCAAAACACACACACTCTCTCCATTCCGCTCCTAAAGGTACATTCAAATAGCAAAGATTTTTATATTAAAAAATAAAATTTGCTGTTGTGCCTGCTAAACATACAACTTAACATTCACTCTGTCCAAGCAATATAAATTCTGGACATACCCATATTCAAAGAGTATACCTGACAAACAGAAGATATATTTATTAAGGATGCTTCACGACATCTTAGCTATTTCCTATCATTTAATATCCCAATGATGCCCTTAAACTATATGCTATTCTAATGTGGTAGGTCCACTAATCCTTCCTTTCTGTCTTTTTGCATCACATTAATTACTGTTGACTTAGCCTAGTTCTGAATGCATTTGTCTTGATAAATCCATGCTTTTACATCTCAGAGCATGCTGAGTAATTAATATCCTTTGGGTTTGCTAAGTACTGCAGCACTGCAAGAGAACATTAAAATGGCTTTCCTCTTATTCCTACTGCTAAATGGATTTAGCTGTTGCCACCTGAGCTCCAGCTTGCTTCATGAATAAATTTAAAGCTTTACTGACAAGGACAATAACAATGAAAAGGCACTAGTCCATCAGAAAGCAGGTATCAGCATTTCAGTGAAAAACTTTTACACATGGTGGTCACAAAGTATTACAACCCATTCAGCTCTGATTTCAGTTATTCACACATCACATCTTAAAGACTAACAGATTTATTTGGGCATAAGCTTTCGTGGGTAAAAACCTCACTTCTTCGGATGCATCCAAATAAATCTGTTAGTCTTTAAGGTGCCACCAGACTCCTTGTTGTTTTTGTAGATACAGACTAACACGGCTACCCCCTGATACTTGACATCACATCTTGTTTCACTTCCCATCTATTTAAATGTAAACTTGGCAAACAAGGGAACGATTTAAATGTACGGTCTATGGTTTTTAAGTTGCTATGTATTTCTGCATCTTCCACGGAAGCACTCAAGAGCATTATGCTGCTGCTTGGGCGATTTATTTTTTCTTAGATCGGTCCATAGATGAATTTGTCATTAGAACAGTTTACATCCTCCTTTGCTGTATGAGAATGGAGATGTTTATGGTGGAAAGCAAGCCATGCGAGACAGGCAGGGTACGACACCACAGATGAAGTGGAATCTTATCAACAAATCCTTTTGTTTAGAAAACTGATACCAGGGCCCGTTGGTCTGGGGGAATGGAATACAACCTCAAACTCCAATCCACATCCTTGCCCACCAGCCTATAGTGCTCCTGCTTGTACCACGCCTTCCACTGGATACAGCACATTTCTCCTCCCCCGCCCCCCACTCAAAACTGTGCCTACCATGCCCTGCTACCAGTAAAGTCTCTGCAGTGTGAGACAGGAAATGCTCTCACGCTCATGGCAAAGGAAATGGTACTTCAGCAGTAGAAGGCATCCATTGCTGAACACATAGGGGAACTGAGCAGGGAACTGTGCATATCAGCAGCGGGAGCCTGAGGCCCTAATTCATCAAGGTATATAGGCAAACGCCTAACTTCAAGCAGGTGAATAGTTCCACTGAATTCCAAAGAGTGGTGTATAAAGATGATTCAAACTGAAGAACTTTGAGCATGTGACCTTTAATTCCAGAATGTTAAGGAAGAATAACTAGTCTTCAGAACTGATCTGCCATACTGGGACACAGAATGTGTTACAACTGACAATATTCTTACAGGTGGCAGTGTTGTAACCACATTGTTCCCAGGACATTAGAGAGAGGAGGTGGGTGACGTAATATCTTTTATTGGACCAACTTCTGCTGGTGAGAGAGACATGCCTTAGAGCCACATCGAGCTCTTCCTCAGGTCTGGGAAAGGTACTCTACACTGCAATTAAAAACCCACAGCTGGCCTGTGCCCACTGACTCTGGCTAAGGGGCTGTTTTAATTGCAGTGTAGACGCTCAGTTTGGAGCCCAGGCTCTAGGACGCTGTGAGATGGGAAGGACACCCAGAGCTTGGGCTGCAGCCTGAACCCCTACTGCCTACATCTCTATTAAATGGCCCCTTAAGTCCCATGAGCCTGAGTCAGCCGTGGGTTTCTACACTCAAAAGTTAAATCAACCCAGCTACACTGCTCAGGGGTGTGAAAAATCCACACTCCTGAGCAATGTAGATAAGCCGACCTAACCCCTGGTGTAGACAGTGTTAGGTCAACGGAAGAATTCCTCTCATCAGCGTAGCTAGCGTCTACGCTGAAGTGCTACAGCGACACAGCTGCAGCAGTGTTTCAAGTGTCGACAAGCACTAAGCCTGTGATTTTTAGTGTCTAGCAAAGTTATGATCCATGAGCAAACACTTTTCATAAAACTATCACTCCGTATCTGACCTCTCAATCCTCATCCTCAAAGGAAATCTGCACAACACCTTCAAAGGACGAGCCTGGAAGCTTCAATAAACAATTTTGCTAGACACTAAAAATCATGGTCTTAAAGATACTGGATTTATGGTGTATTACAACAATCTGTAACCCACTAACTCCCCCACCGCCCCATCCCTGTTTTTGTTCCATGACTGCAGGGGTGTTAACAGGCCACTTCACCTTGAATGGTTCCTTAGAATATGTGTTAACTACTTATGCTAAATAATCTATTCTACCTTGCATTTAGCTGCGACTCTGCATACCTTTCCCAGACCTCAGTAAGAGCTCTGTATAGCTTGAAAGCTTGTCTATTTCACCAACAGAAGTCGGTCCAATAAACGATATTACCTCATCCACCTTATTTTTAGAATTATTATAGTAGCATGTAAGGGCCTGATCAAGGATCGAGGCTCTGATGTGCTAGGTGCTGTACAAACAACACTGTGCCTGCTCCAGAAAGCTTGCACTGTAGCTTAATGCGGAGAACATTGCCTCTATATCTTCGAGTATTGTATGGATTTGCCTTCCCCATATTATATCCTTCTCTCTAGCCTTCATTCTGTCTTCATTCACTTCTTTCCAATATTGCGACATTATCCTTGATGTCTGTGTTTTAAATGAAACATACAACAAAGAGTAAAGAAAAGTCCATAAAAAATCTCCAGAGTGACGAGGGACAAAAGAGAGAAACTCCAGAGGTGAAAGTAAGCCGGTACGACCCAGTACGGCGGCCCAGCTTCCCCAGGCAGCAATTTAAAGGGCCTGGGGCTCCAGACGCTGCTGGGAACCCCAGACCCTTTAAATTGCCACCAAAGCCCCACTGCTGGAGCCCCGCCGCCACTACCCCAGGGCTCTGGGGGCTATTTAACAGGCTGGGGCAGTAGAAGCAGGGGAGTCCTGGGCCCTTTAAACTGCTGCTGGAGCCCTGCTGCCGGAGCCCTGGGGTAGCAGCGGCAGCTGGGGGCTCCGGCAGCGCTTTAAAGGGCTGGGGCAGTAGCGGTGGCCGAGCCCCGGGTCCTTTAAACTGCTGCCGGAGCCCCTGGCTGCTGCTGCTACCCTGGGGGGAGGGGGAGGGCACTTATCGGTGCAGGGCAGGCCGGGGCTGGCTCTGACCCCCCAATTCCCGCCCCTTCCGCCTGAGGCCCTACCCCTTCCGGGGGCCAGGGCCGGCCCCAACCCAGCCCTGTACCGGTAAGTCCCTATTTCTACTTTCACCCCTGCAAACCTCACCTAATGGGACTGCACCATCTTAGGGCTTGTCTACACTGGTACTTTACAACGCTGCAACTTTCTCGCTCAGGGGTGTGAAAAAACCCCCCCCACCCCCGAGCGCAGCAAGTTTCAGTGCTGTCAAGCACAAGTGTAGACAGTGCACCAGCGCTGGGAGCTACGCCCCTTGTGGAGGTGGATTTTTTAGAGTGCTGAGAGAGCGGCAACGCTTTAACGTTGCCAGTGTAGACTAGCCCTTAGATTCTATTTGAATTCCCTTTTAACGCAACAGTTTGTAGTAGGTGCAAAGCTAACTGAAGGCTGGAATATGGTAGCAATACTAATGTTCACATTAGGATTTCAAAACCCTTTCCCTGCCCCTCTTTTTTTTTTCCCCCCCGTTCTCAGTGATTAAATAAATGTTAAGGGCACCGATTCGCTGTACACCAAGGCTGTGTAATTAACAAGTCCCGGCAGGATCTTTTGCTTTTTACATATGATAATGCAGTTGGTGAAATGTGCCGTCAGAGGCAGATTGCAGCTCCTCTATCAAATGGTTAGAAACATGTGGAAACACAATGCCAGATGTGTCCAGTTACAGCTTCCTTTTCTTTTAAAGAACATAAAGGGGCCCTACTTCCATGCAATATGCTCAGCTACCCCAGGAATGCCAGGAATAGCCAAACTCCTATTGGAAGAAAAACAGCTAAAGCTAAGGAGGCATGATTCACCCTGGGGCGCTGAAAACTAGATGAGAAATGTGCATCTCCACTCCTGCGCATGGCAATGAAAATGCCTCTTGTTCCATGCACCACAGCATATTTCCGCTGAGTCTATTTCAAAGCTTTCCCTTTGCCGTGTTGTCAACTCTCATGATTTTGTCATGAGTCTCATGATAATTATTGTTTTCTTTAAAGCCCCAGCTCCTGGAGTCACGTGGATATGTGGTTTCAGCCTTCATTCTTAAAGAAAAAGTAAGTGTCTAGCCCTCACGGTTGTGAAGAAAGCTTTAAAATGTGACTCCAGTGCACCCTAAAAG